CTATTGCTGTTCTTTTTTGATTTTTATTTCTATTTGGAGAAATGTGCACCGACTTTACACCTTTGCTTCTTAGGCACTGCAGTAATAAAACTTCTGAGACATTTCTGGGTAATTTGGTAAGTTTTGCTATGTATTTTCTTTGGTTTTCTTTTGCTTTATAGTTTTCTTCTCCTCTGGTTACTCGTACTAGTCTATCATTATTAACTGGTATAGTCCATGGAATGTAAACTTCTTCAGCATCTTCTATCTGCATTATAGCAAGTGCTTTGTACTTGGATCTTTTTATTTTTAAAACTTGGGCATTTTTGAATCTTCTACAGATATATTCCAACTCCCTTCTATTGATGTCTGTTGGCAAGTCTTATATTGTTATGAATGCTTTGTTATTGGACTGTTCATCCATCTTGTAGCTGTCTAAGTCTTCTTCAATCTTGTTTTCCTTCTTGTTGTATATTCTTCCTTCATTTTTTGTCAAACTGTTTTTTCTTTTTTGATATTCTTCATTGTGTAGTCTTCATTTTCCTTTTTTGTCTTTCTGCTTTTCTGGTATTAATTTGTACCAGTCTCCTTCTTTTCTGCTAATTCTTTGGATTGTCTTATTTCTACCATGTTTGCAGTTAAAGTAAACCTCTATTTACAAGTTTCCTCTTTTAAAAACTTTTTTAATGGCTTTAACATGTTCATTATTTTTTAGTGACTACTCAATGAATTTTATGTGTTCTTCTTTTGTTGTTCCTGAACATTATGTGCTGGTATGTTGGCAAGTAGGCTGTTATGTTGGTTGCAATTTCTTTTGCTTGGTGCCCAAATACTCTCCTCTAATGGTTCTCCTACTATGTCTATTTCTCTCTCGATTTCTAGTTTCATTTCAAATTGCATGTTTGTCTCTTTTGCTATTATGTTATATTTTGATTCTTTCTAGTTTGCATCTGCACTCTTTTGCTCATATTCTTCTTCTTCTGTATCTACTTCTATTAGTGGTTCTTGTTCGATTTCTTGCATTATTTCTATTTTTGTTGGTTGTGGTTGCTCTATTGCTATGTTGTTTGTTTTTTCTAGGACAGGTTCTATTATTACTGTGTAGTTACTTTGTTCTACTATTCTTAGTTTTTTCTCTGGCTGCTCTTTCTCTGCTTTCTCTATTAGCTCTCTTGTTAATCTCAGTAATGCAACCTCATTTGGGCTCTGTTTTGTCAGCATGGTAACAATTCTGTCTTCTCTATTAGGTGTAACATATATCTTACCTGCCTGTTTAAGGAATACCTCATTGTGTATACTATTAATTGCCTAGTATGCTCTTTTGATATATGTTGTCATTAAACTATCACCACATCCTCCTAATGTATTCATATTTTCGCCTTAAGTTGTATTCGTGTGCACTCTATTTGGTTTGCACATGACTGGTTTGTTTACTTGTTTACATTTTCGTGACCAAAACAGATCTGTAATACAGAGTTAATACCAATTCCCCAAAATTTTGTTTTTTATATAGTTTCTTCAAGAAAAAGCTCTTGTTTTTCTTATTACTCTTGCTAGTTAGCTTATTTTTGGCTGTTCTTCTTTTTTATTAGGCCTACTAGAGAGGTTCAGATAGCCATTATTGTGTAAACTTAGTTTTTGTTTCTTGCCGAATTTGGTTTAAATGATCAGCAGAGAGAGAGTTGTTTTGATTAGAAGATAATTGTGAATTACATATAGCTATTATTTAGATTAATAAAGTCTAAAATTTCTTTTTTTGAAGCAGATCCTTTTTTGGATTCTCTTTGTTGTAAAGTGTTAAGTACTTTAATTTCTTTTCTAAGTCTACTTCTCTATTTCGTTGTTTTTAAGCAGTTTATAGCTTTGTTTCCAGATTCATTTACTAGTTTTGCATTTAAGTGCAAAGTGTTCTATAGTTTGAGTGATGTATAGGCAACCTGAACAGCTATCATCAGAGTTTTGTGCAAAGTAAGTAGTCCGATAACCTAAGGGTAGGGCTCTATGCATTAGTTTCCAAAAAATGTCCTTTTTATTGTTCTGAATATTTTCAAGTTTCATCCACTCATATGTATTATCTAACTGGGTTTCTTGGCTTGGTGTACTATTCTGTGTTGTAGTAGATGTTTCATTTTGAAGAAGTTTGGTCATAGTTTTGACTGAGTAGTTGTTTGCTGTCATCGATTTTATTTTAATATTATCTGAGGTCCAGAACCAGGTGTTGTTCTCTGTAATCAATTCTTTCACTCTTTTCCAAGCTATTAGATAGGGTTTCCATCTTTCTGACCACCCTTTTAGCTTAATGTTATTTTGGTTTAGAGCAGCTTTGGGTGTTATTCCTCTTTTGTTTTGAAGATCAGTAGTGATTAGTTCTCTTTTCACATTTGACCAGAAGCTATTTCTAGTTAGTAGTCTTGTCCAAATTGATAATAGTCTTGCGTCAAGTAGATCTTTTAAAATAGGAGCTTTTAGGCCTCCTAGCTTTTCATCAGTTTGAAATATTGAGTAGCATGAAAGCATTTTAGATTTATTTTTGATTTATTTAGTGAGAATTGAGCCTATTTCATTAAGTTGTTTTCTGCTTGGAGGTAGTAGGGTTTTTGTGACCAGAATTTTTTCTTTAAAAGAAAAATTTCTTGTAGAGAAATGATCAATCTTTTTCTTGATTTTGTTTGTTATCTTATGCCATAGGTCTTTTGCTGGCTTTTCTTCAATATTAGTTTTATAGCCTAGGATGCTTTAGTTTGAAAGTTTTCCATTTCTTGAAGTTGTATTCTTTGAGCATTTTCTGTAAGAGGTATTAGTATCGATTTGTTTTTATTGATTCTTGTATTAGATGCCTTTTCATACTTATGCACTAGAAGTATAAAGTTGTTCCAGTCTGAAGCAGTGCTAAAGCCTAGTGTTAGATTATCTGTATAGGCTGCTATCTTGAAAGACTTTTCTTTAATTTGAATTCCAGACAGGCTTTTGTTGAGAGCTTGAAGAAAGAGGTTGAAAGCTAAAACATATAAGAGAGGAGAAAGAGGGTCACCCTGTCTGACTCCTCATTTTACTTTAAAAGGTTCTGAAGCTTTATCAGCATCTCTGATATAAGCTTGTTGTGAGGCAAATAATGTATGAATTACTTGTCAGAATTTATCATTAAAATTCATTTCCTTTAGAACTAGTTGTAAATAGGAATGATTAACTCTGTCAAAAGCTTTTTGTTGATCAAGGAGCAATAGCCAGTATTGTTTGGATTGGTCTACTTGGTTTATCATAACTGTTAAAATATCAAGAGTTGTATCAGTTATAGATCTGCCTGCAATAAATGCTTGTTGTTCTGGCCCAATCAGTTGGTTGCATATTGGGTTGAGATAATTTGCTAAAATTTTTATGAATATTTTAGCATCACTGTTGACTAAGAAGATGGGTCTCCAGTTGTTAATATCTTTCAAGTCATCTAACTTTTTGGGAATAAGAGTAATTATACTTTTGTTTCATGAGTGTGGCATGCAGCCTGTGTCTATAACATAGTTGAAGAGTGTTGATAGAAATGGGAGTATTTCTTCTTTTGTATACTTGTAGAATTCATAAGTTAATCCATCTGACCCAGGAGTTTTGTTGTTGGGTAAGAAGTCAACTACCATGCTAATTTCTTCTTTACTGATGTGTTTTGTTAGTGTATCGTTTTGTGTCTGGTTAACTAAAGGAAGGTCTTTTGTTAATTCTTTGGCAGCTTCTATGTCAAATTTCTCTGTTTTGTATATTGTTTGGTATTTGTCTCTAATATTAGCTAGTATATTGGTAGGATTCTGTAGAACTGTATTATTAGGTATTTCTATTTCTGCTGTGCAGGAGGTTGTGTGTTTAGCTTTGTAGAAGGAGTAGAAATATTTTGTAGACTTTTCTTCTTCTATCCATTTAGCATTTGACCAAATCTGACATTTTTCAGAAAGAGATGTAACTTCTTCTTGGATTAGTGTTTTTGTGTGTTTAGCAATAAGTTGAAGATCTTCTAAATCAGGATTATTGGCAATTTGGTTGTTTAGTTTGCATAGTTTTTTGTATAATGATTGTATCTTTCTTTCTGGTGCTGTGTTTGGTTTAAAAGCTCTAACAATTGATTGTAATATGCATTTGTGAAGATCCCAGTTTTGCACTTCTTTTATCTTTTGTAGTTCTTTTATAATTTCTGCTCTCAGTTTTAAGTTATACCAATGTTCTTTTTTGAATCTCCAAAGTTGTGTATGGTATGAATTATTTTTGCCTGAAATTGTACTTTCTACTAGAAGATGGTCTGAATTGCCTGGTCTAGTAGTAGTTTTGAAGTTGAGGTAGCCAGATTCAATTTTGACAAATATGTAGTCTAATCGGATGGCCATTAATTGATTGTTTTGTGTGTTTTGATAAAAGGTTAAGAAGGGGTTGCTCTTAAAAAAACTTGCTGTGTCTATGTAGTCTTTCATAAGCTCTCTTAGCAGTGTTCTAGAAGGATCATTTTGTGAAGGTGCTTGACTAATGTGGTTGATTTGAGGATTCAGATTGGTGTTAAAATCCCCTGCTATGATAGAAATAGCACTGTCATCATCAATTGGTGTCCAGTTGTTGAAGAATTGACACCTATTATCCCAACTGGAGGGTGCATAGACATTTGTAAGTAGATAAAGTTTATTTCTAAAGGTTACTTTTGCTGATATCACTCTGTCATTGTGTGAGACCAAATTGAGTCATAATTCCATTGTTGTGCTAGAAACTTTCCTGTTGCAAGATCGTTTAGATTTGTTTCTTGGATAATATTATATTTAACTTATAAGACTTTAAAAGTGTTAGGGTTTTTTAAGCCTTAACTCTATTGTTAAGGCCCTTGACATTCAGTATGGCAATTTTAATCATGAGATATAAAGAGATATATTGGCCACATGGCAGTTTGTTCTGAGTGGGAATGATTAACTAGTAGGGAGAAAAGCTGTTCAGGCATTCTCTGTCCTACTCTTATTACTTTCCTTACTTGTTGTAAGGATTTTCTTCTTGTTTCCTTTTCAGTTGTTCTTTTTTGAAGTGACCAAAGTAAATTCTTTCTCTTCAGTTTTGTTTTCTTTGTTATAGTCCAATGGTTCCATTGTTATATCTTGGTCATAGTTTGTAGCAGGTGTTTCATTATTTGTGTTCTTGTAATTAGCTTCTATTGAAGATAAACCATGTTTTGAAATAGGGATACTAGTTGTGTTTTCCTCAAAGGTTAAGTCCTAATCATCTATAGTATTGATTAAGTCATTTTTTGGTTCATCTTGTTCTGTGACCATATCTGAGATATATGGGTTTTCTGGGCTGTAAGATATATTTTCTGTTTGCATTTTTTGGTTAAGTTTGTTTGTTTCCATTAAGGATTTCTTTCGTTTTTTTTGTAACTGTTTTAGTTCCATTGAAGCTCTAAGTTCTGCACATTCATTTTTAATATGTCCTGTTTTTTCACAGTAATAACATATTTTTGGAGCCTTCTTCCAGTCTGTAGTAACTTTGTGGTTACCGACATGTGTGTGTCTAGGTAGTCTGACTGTCAGGTTTGAATCATTTAATATTTCAAAAGTTACAATCCATTGGTCAGAGCATATTGGGGTTTCTTCATATAGAAGTAGTTTTATAGAGGCAATAGTGCCGATATCCTGAAAAGCTTCCTTAATCTGTTTATTGATAACTTCTTTATTGCCTATTGGTGTGTTCTTCAATTTAACTGAAAGGAATATACACTTAAGATTAACTGGAACATATCCAAAGAATGTTTGTTTAAATATTGTAATTCCTTCTGAAGCATACAGTTGTTGTTTGTCTTTATTTAAGAAGGCTATTTCTAAAAGAGCCCATCTGCCTCTGATAATGTGAGTTTTTGCTACTAGCATATCTTCTTCCAATTTGATGTAGAGGGTTGAGATGATGTCATTGGTAGGTATGTTGGTAAGCTTAGAAATGTCAAAAACAAGAGCATTTTCATTCTTAGAATAGATCTTGTTTCTGGGTGCTGTGTTAGAGAAGGTTGCCTTGCCTCCTTTCAGCTTTGAGAATAAATCTGACCATTGCTTGGGTTTGTTGTTAGCTGGTTTGTCATTCACATCATCTGATGTTGTGCTATCAACGATTTTGTCTTGTGTATCAATTTTGTCATGTATGATGTGCATGTGTTCTGTATCTGTTTGTTTGTTGTTTTCTGTATTTGCTACTGCATGTGTCTTGTTGTTTTTTACCTTGTTGTTTTTACTTGTAGAAGGTTTTTACTTGTAGAAGAAGTAGCTTTTTGTTTGCCTTTACCAACTGGTTTTTCTTCTTGTTCTATGTTACTGGCCCAGTTTTTATCACTTTTGTTGTTGCTTTTATTTGGTTTACTATTTGGTAAATATGGCATGTTTACTGTTTCTGCTTTTACAATAGGAGTTTTTTCTTGTTCTGATGACAAGTCAAAGTCCTTTTTTTTGGCTCTAGTGTCAAGAAGTTTGGTCTCTTGGGTATCAAGCTGCTCATGTTTGACAGAAATAAGTTTCTTTTCTTGGGTATAAGGGCTTTAGCCCTATCAGAGGAGTTTAGAAAAAAGTTTTTATTTAGTTTTTGTGAAATTTTGTTATTTTTGTATTGTTACTGAAAGTGTACCGGAAAAAGTTTTTTCTTCTTAATTTAGTTGTGATGTTTTTATTCAAGTATATTAGGACACAGCATGCTACCAGGGGCTCACCTTACATTGGAGATTACAACTAGCCACACATGCACTTTTGGTGCCTAATTTAAGTAGTCTGCTTACACATTACTA